GTGCACAGTTAAACAGAAATGTTTTGAGTCTGGATTTAAACAGCGTCACAGAAGAGTTCTGTCTCACATGTTCAGACTGTTCCAGGTTTTAGCTGCATGAACCTGAAACTCTGACTCCCCTTGTTTAGTCGTGACTCTGGGCACCAGCAGGAGTTGGTCCCTGAGCTCCTCAGAGTGCGAGATGGTTCATATGACACCAACATGTCACAGATGGACTTTGGTGCTCGGTCGTGGAGAGACTTGTACAAACAGAGCTGCTTTAAAGTCTCTGAGCCACAGGAGCCAGAGCAGAGACCTGAGACCAGGACTTATGTGCTCGTACTTCCTAGTTGACCAAAAAAATAAATAAAAGAATGAAAATCCATCAGCTGTTCTCCATCCATCAGTCGTTATCTATTGGCTCTCTACATTTCTAGCGATTATGTGGTTTTACGTACACCTCTCACGCATCCCGCATACGCAAGATTCCGTTTACTCAACCTCTGCAGCGGTTCTTAGCATTTTTTTTCGAGCTGTAGCCTCCTCGCAGCTCACACAAAGTCTGTTGCGATGGCGGACGAGAAACCACAACCAGTTCACCACGAAAGAAAGTCCGTTTTTGAGGTCACTGAAAGAAGAAAAAGAGAAAAGGGCCGAAGCCAGGCTAAGGCGATTCTTGGAGAGGGTTTTCACGCATGCACAACGTTTGAAAAAAGATAAATAGCCACTGTATTTTGGATTCTTGGAAAACTCTTTATACAACCTTTAAACAGCTCTACTTTACATTTATTCAGTTATAGTTGGTTTTATAGCTCAAAAATAAACAGAAAACCTAACTTAGTCTGGTTTGGTCTCCATGAAGATTAGAAACGGAGCCACGGAGAAAAGCATTTGACGGACGCTCCAGAAAAGTTACACTCTGCAGCTGCACAGACTCGGCGTCCTTGTGTCGACGTCCTTTTATTCTCTAGTGCTGAATTATACACGACTTCAAATGGAGGTGTTCAAAGCACTTCAGTGACTTTGAGGTACATTTACCTAAATATACAGACTTAATGATGATTCGATTTAAATGTCTAAAAGCAAACAAAAGCTTCAGCAACAAATGTGAAGATGGTTACTTAATGATCGTGGTCCTGTACTTTAGAAAATACACAATGTCATTCAACGAGAAGTATTTTAAAGACGGGTAGAGCTGCACGATTATGGAAAAAATCATTACCACGATTGTTTTGGTCACTATAGAAATCATGGTTATTCAAATGATTATTTTTTTAGTTACACGATGCATTTATTCAGCATTTTTCTCTCAAAAATAATCTAATATTGATAATTTACGCAAAACTTCCAAACTGAAAATAAATATAGGCTACAAATATGAACCTTAGAACATGAAATAAGGCAAAGAAAAACACATAAATGTATCCAAAATAAACGATTATATTTTTCGGGCTTTAAGTCGTACCGGAGTTTAAGTCGCAGGAAACACACAAACCATGAAAAAAGTGACTTATACGACAAAAAATCTGGTAGTATATATTAAAATGTTCACACTGACAGTGGAGAGGCTTCTAGTCTTGTGTGTGAGTATCTGCTGCTCCTGTTCCTCCTGTTCCACTGTCACTTGGCTCTACTGCGCATGTCTCCTGCAGAAAGAGCCTCTGTCCTGCTGCAAGTTGTGAAATTTGCAGCTGAAAACGGTAATCGAGCAACAGAAAGAAAGTTTAGAGTGAGCAAGAAACTTGTGACACCGGGAGGATGAACCATGAAACTTTCCTGAAGTCACTGGATGGATGGACAAAGCCTGAACTTCAGTGACACTGAAACCATCCTGTCGGGATTCAGAAAGACCCGAAAAATTCTAACTGGAACTGATGCTGAGTCTGACGACAGCGACACAGAAGAGTTTGCGTCGCTCTGTTTACCTCCGGAGGTCGAGGAGTTGCTCAGAAGTGACACAGAAGATGAAGAATTGAATGGATTTAGTGATTTGGAGTGAGATGGAGAGTTTGTTAAACTTGTTCTGTTCTGTTGTTTATGTTATAGTTTATCTGAAGAACTGTTCATATGTGACGTTAACAGTCTGTTGTTCTGTTTTATTGTTTTTACTACAACTTGACTTTCAACAGGAAATGTCGGTTCCTGGTCTCTTACTTTATAAAATAAATTTCACAAATGAAGACTTGTCTCTTTCCAAACGCTCTTAAAGGACGATCGTTTTGACTGTTGACCGTGACACCCTCATCAGAAAAATGTCCAACATGACAAAAGTGGAGTCGAGTGCAGGATTTTCCAAGAAAAATTGACTTATTCCTGTTTACATACAAGTTCATGTTAAAACATTGTGTTGAAATTGTATTTTTCTTAAAGTTTCAGGTTGTTCATAATATTATAATATTTTGTAAAAGAAAGAGTTCATCAATTAAAAAAGATTTCTGTATTAGATTTGTGTTTCTCTGCACAAATATTTGAACTTATTGTTATTTTTGGGGTTTATATGTCATGAGTTTTCTGATCCGGCCCCTTTGGGATCAAAGTCGGTTGGATACGGCCCCCGGACCAAAATGAGTTTGACACCACTGATTTACATCCGTCTCGACGCTTTGTTTACTGTTGTGCTGTTCCACAAAAGGGACACAGACAGACGCGACGAGTTTGACGTCATGGCTTCACAGCTCTTCACTGATTGGCCGGTGAGCCGTCTACAACTTCCTGGATTCTTACAAACTTTCTAGTGCACTCGGCTTCACTTTTCTCATGTTGGACATTTTTCTGATGAGGGTGTCACGGTCAACAGTCAAAACGATCGTCCTTTAAGAGCGTTTGGAAAGAGACAAGTCTTCATTTGTGCTGCTCTGGTGGGAGGGGCCACGTACAGAGACGCTGGAGACGCTGCTGTGATAAACACCACAGAAAATTAACAATATTTGAGACCATCACAACACCATCGTTATGCATCCCGCTAATGAAACTACCGCACATCGCATCAGGTTTGTCGAGTTCATGTTTTTGTATATTTACAGAGAATTATTGCGTGGGCGTTGTAGGCTTGTGGGCGGAGCCTCGTACAAGAATGCGCGTTTGAATAGGGCCCAGAGAGAGATTGCTAAATGACCCAAACATGCACGGACGGCGCCTCAAACCTTCCTCGGGCTCGTTTCTGACGATTCGACGTTACGAGACGGTAGAAAGATGAGGGGGGGAAAAAAAAAAAACACAACGAT